CTCCGGGACGCACACTCATCAGACGAAACGCGAAATAGCTTCCATTTGACGGCTGTCTTCTGTGCGGTCGTGGTATTTCACCGGACGAGCCGGGACAATTCGTGCGAAGATGTTAAAGCGGGCTCTACCACTGTTAAAATAAATTATTATTAGGGTATTTTATTGTAAGGAAGGTGTAGATTTCTAAATTTAACAAATGAATAGGTATTTAATATGATAAAAAGAAACTAATTTTGTATGTAACCGGTTTAAAAGCTTTTTGTGACGTCGCTATTTCTACCAAGAATGGTATATATTTTTAGATAAAGTACAGTAAGGTTACACTGTACTTAGGCGGGTTTTAGCTAAGTGGGTCATCAAAAGCTAGTGAAATGTGTGAAGGCTCATTAAGTGCTGAATGTACTACGGTCTTTGTGTGTGCCTTAGTGTTCGTATATTTTTTCGAACCGAATTTTCACAAGGCTATAATATAAACCCTTTTTTTAATTCAAAACAGCTTTACGGAGAAGTACGTAGTAACTTTAAATGTGTCAAATTTCACGTTCATATGTTTCCAAAGAAAAAAAACTTTTCGCTTTAAGTATTTATAACGTGACCATTTTAAGTAGGTCATGTCCACACAGTGGATTACATATACAGTTATGTCAATGTATTTGGTCCGGTTATGCAATATTCAAATAGCTAGGCCATACCGATTTATGGTTATTGCATCGAATTAGTTCGATAATAATTAACTGGTGGACATTACGTGCGGATGATTGCACTCAAATGCATGATTATACGTAGATTACTGGCCACTAACTATCAAGGATAGCAGTTGTGACGTCATAACAAAGAAGAAATAAATTAAAAATTAAAAAACGGAAACTTATCTATACCATCTTATCTTATAACTAGATGTAAGCGAGGAATTAAAAGAAACTAGTAGGATATGAGTTCTTCCAGACTATGTTCAACATCTATGGTAAATTTGAGCTTCATTCGTTTAGCCGTTCTGGAGATCAAACAAACATCCATCCATCTAAAGATTTGCATTTATAATATTAGTAAGAAGTTGTGGCCTAACCGAGGATATAAACTTCTATCTTAGGGGCACTTCAATTGGCTTTATTACATCACTTTTTAATGTGCGCAAAGAAATTAGTTTTATATTTTTCCGCAATATGGCGCTGGTTTTCATATGTCTGGTTAGGATATTAGTTAGTTACTCATAACAAGCGATACCAAAATTTGTTGGTTATAATTTTATATTGTTTCGGTTTTAGATATTTTATTTGATCGGCGTCCAGTTTTTAATTCCTATAAGTTCGATAAAAAGAGTAAAGAAATATACACCTTTGTGAATATAATGTATCGAACATTTTTTTTCAAGGTTATTTTTTTTTTATAAAAGAAGGGGAAAAACGAGCAGCGGGAACACCGAGGTGATCAACAACACCTATGGACATCTGCAGCACCAGAGAAACTGCAGATGAGTCGCCGGTCAAAATAAATTACAGTTGCCGGTTTCATAAATTATATTAAAGAATTTATACTGCAACTAAACACTAGCTAGAGCGTCGGTGGCTCAGGGGTTCAGCAGTTGACTTGCAATCTGCAGGTGCTGGGTTCGAATCCCGTTAAGTATCAATGTGTTTGTTGATTTGCGATTCAAATATGTACATTTATCCGACGTTCTTACGGTGAAGGAAAACATGCAAACTACATATCTGAGAAGAAATTCAAAGATATGTGTGAAGTCAACCCGCACTGGGCCAGCGTGTTTGACTATGCTCTAGTCATCTTAACTTAGGGTAGGCTCTGAGCCCATCAGTGGGAACGTATAGTGAGCTGATGATGACGAAACACTAGCGTTAGCTTAATTGAAAACACTTCTTCGTTTTTATTCACACTGAAATAAGTAAAGTTATTTAACGTAGTAATTTTGAATGACGATATGAGTGGAGCTGCGCGAGGAAATTACACGAGAGATACTTTTTGAGCTGTACAGTTAATGAATGTGTGCTACAAAAATGTTCATAATAAATTATACGCCGTTTATAAATGTCATTAAAAAATTATTAAAAAATTACCACATTTTAATAGTAATAATTAATCTTTAAAAGTAAAATTTACGAGGAAATTTAATTATAAAATCATTGTCATGTTATCTCTTACATCTTACTAATATTATAAATGCGAATGTTTAGATGGATGGATGTTTGTTTGAAGGTATCTCCGGAACATCGTGATGCAACCAGCACATATCTGAGAGGAAATTCAAAGATATGTGTGAAGTCAACCCGCACTTGGCCAGAGTGGTTGACTATGGCCTTTTTTTTTAGAGGGGAATGCTTTATGCATACTCCGCGCCCCGGGGGGGACGCGGTAGTTATGTGGGATTCTCCTCCATAGCGGAGGCATACCCACTAAACCCCTCTGTTCCTCCAACGCATCGGGACGGGACCACGGGCACGCTTTCGCTCTCGTCCGCGGCCAAGGTTGACTATGGTATAATCACCCGTGACTTAGTGTAGGCTCCGAGCCCCTCGGTGGGGACCTATAGTGAGCTGATGATGATGATGATGATGATATCCAGAACTGCTTAACGGATTATGATAAAATTTGGCACACATTTAGAAAATAGTGTGGAAGAATACATAGGCTACTCCATAGTAATCCATAAAGTTATTTTTTATAAAAATAAGAGTAAATTGCCTACTTACGTCGTAAGAATCTTGTACTTTCATTACTTTGAAGTGTTTAGATTTATTCAGTTTCGTGAGACCATGTTTAATTAACGTTACCATGACGAAGGGCGTTTTATTGTTTCTTTAATTGTGCTCATACTGTCGTGGTTGCATTTTATTTTAAAATACTACTAGCTGTCACCCGCGACTCCGTCCATACGGAATGAAAAATAAACATAATTAGTAGCCTATTTGTTCTTCCAAACAATGTTCTATAAATGCCAAATTTCATTAAGATCCGTTCAGTTGTTCTGGAGATACCTTCAAACTAACATTCATCCAAACAATCGCATTTATAATATTAATAAGTAAGATTTTTCATAATCGTATTTAGAAACCTACGCATTTTTTTTTTGATAAGGTGGCAAAAGACCGAGCGGCCACCTGAAATCGCTGAAATGGCGACTAACTGTTGCCCATAGACATACGCAATTACATATGCGTTGCCTACCTTTAATCGACGGAGGAGAGGATGCACAGAAAGAAAATATCTTCCCTTCCCATGCATCCTCTCATC